AGCAGGAAGTCCTACCTCCCCCCCTCACACACACACAATTCAACTATTAATTAAGGCAAACTCGAATTCAAGACCACATAAACGAGGAAGTGTTCATCTGAAATAATGGTACACAAGTAGAAGACAAAGAGGGGCATATGACAAGGGATAACAATACTCCTCTGTCAGAAAGTTTGAAAAGGCTTAGGTATTATTAAGACCCGCTTTGCAAACAGATCTCAATACCTTTATGTTAAAAAAGAAGATTATAAACCTCTTAAATTTGGAGAGGTTCCCTATATTTCATTATATAACCGGTATATTATACAAATTAACAGCCTAATATTACATGTACACATACAGCAAGCGGTCTGATGGTGAAGGTACAAATTAAATACTGTACATCATACAGTGATCCCATCTCCCTGATGCAGGTAAGTGAACATGTATCTTTCGACACACGGTACAGACTGGATAGACGCAATAATTCAAAATAAATGCACTATATGAATTCAGATTATTGAATGTAATTTTTACTCGACATTATCAACCTCGAACAGAATGATATTGGTTTTCGAAGAGACATGCATTATTGCATTGTTTAATAAGCCTACATGTACATAATTTATACAGTAAGGCTGCGATACACTCACATACAGAGGTATATGGGACTACACGCAAATGTCTGGTGTAAACTTGTCAGATTTTTATTTTCCCATTTCTGATATGAGGGTATTAGAATTTAGAAGATCAGTACTTTTCAGGGGAAATATCTGCAAGCAAAGATATTCTTCAAAACTGTTTGGAAGAGAAAGCTCTCGAATGAATTCTTCCATCTTTACAAGAACTCAACCTTCTCCGTAGATACTTTGTACATTTATACTATAATGAAGGAAAATTGTTTTGCCACTAACTCGTAATGTAGAAACAGAAACTTTTATTGGTAAAGTATGAGGTCAAAGTATTTATTTCGGAAAATTTTTCTATCATTGATTGTTTTAGTCCGAGTTATCAGGTGATGTAACAACACGGAAAAGAGTTGATTCCTTCCTCATTTCTTCTTTGATCTATCGCATTTCTTCAACAGGATGAATAATAGTTCGAATACGTGTTCTATGATTTTTTATTTGCTATTCTCATAGGTGTCCTATCCTATCCTTCGGCATCTGTCTGTCTCGAAAGACAATAGAATATTGCGCTATATAGTTGTCAGTTTCTTGGTGTGCAGCTCCTGCTGTGACTGAACAGTCCAATCCTAGAGAGACAGGTCCTGTTGCAGTTGCTGCAGATAAAAGTCATTTGTGGCTGTGCTGTTGGAGCCGTAGCTAGCTGTTGTCTTTGTTGTTTTTGTTGTTGTCTTTCTCATAGGTGTAAAGTTAACATATCATACTCGACAGACACGTAGTGCCACGCCGTGCTGTACCTCACAATAGAGAACCAGTGCTGATTTTCCAAAGATGTTCAGCTAAAGTTCAAACTTTGATGATGATGTTGTAAAGAAGCGATATACAGTATTATAGTATAGAGTTTTGATACGCAACAGGAATGTTAGCCGCTGATATCATAGTATTCTTTCCCCATCAGTCCATCTCTGATTTTAAGTCCTTTGAAGTTGCTGTTTTTTCTTCCCAGTAATAATAATAATAACGATATTGATAACATATATAATAATACAACACATAATTGATTCCTGTAAAAGTATCGTCTTTGCAGCCCACTTTGTGTACATGTATACTATTTACGATGCATGACTATATGTATATTTGATTATTTATGTTTTTTGTTGTCTGTCAACTCATTTTTTAATTTTTATTGAAGTTGTCTTTTTGTATTAATATATATATTTATTGGTGTACCCATATCTATCCCACGACTTTCCTGTGTTACCGGTAGAGGTGTCGCGGTCGAATGGTTACGTTGCCGGACTGTCGATCACAAAATCCGCGGTTCGAGTCCCGACGCGACAAGAGGCTATGATGGAAGTGGATTGATGCTCTGACAGCTCTGCTGTGGGTCCCTTTTCCCAACAACGTTTTTAGATCAAATGTTTGTGTGCTTTGTTATATTATCCACACAAGTCCTTTCTTCCACAACATCATTTAACTGCATTTTGCATTTGTCGAGTATAGTTATTGGTTTGGGAAATGGTACAAAGAAACCTCTTCTATGTCTCGTTCTTCATATGATTTTATGTGTGAATCGCTATCGCACTCTCCGTATATAACAGTGTTGTTGTTGTTGTTTTAGTTTATAGGCGTTTGTCATTCAGAAGTGAATATTTACGCCTCTTCTCTTAGGATTTTTATTCCTTTAAAATTAGATTTACTTTTTTTGCAACAGCAATGCTTTCCCATTATTCTTGCCTAAAACTAAGATATTAATTAATTAAGTTTGAAACTGCCTCCTTTTTCTACTCTCTCTCTCTCTCTCTCAAATAGCGAAAGAAAACAATACAATCACATGCAGGGCATAGTAGCAGCAGGGATATTTAACTCACATACCCTGGTAGCAGAGAACACCTCGAACATAGCAACACATATATTGTACGCACACAGAGAGTAGGCTGCAATGCACCGCGAGTTCATTGTTTGTCAAACACTCCGATTACGTAATGCGATTTCAAGGTCTGTGATTCATTACTGGCCTAATGAGTTCATTAGTACAATCATTTTTATTATTATGATATTTTCATGACAGCGGGTACAACTTCATAGGCATACCTTGAGAGTCTCCCTCCTAGCTTTTCATCATTATTTTGAAGGGAAGAACATTGCGTTGAACAAAAATATAATATATTGATCAGGATTTTTTCCTCAGAGCCCTGTTAGGCCCTATGTTTATTCTGATTACAATACTTGGTTGGATCCGTGAATACAGAACAATTTTAGTTTACATCCCGTAATAGCACCGACGACAATGTAAAAAAAACTAGATTAGTCATTGTTTGTGTTTTCAAGCAAACAGATGGCAGAAAGTTACCATATCCATCCATTAAACATCATTTCTGTTTTAGTGTTACTGTTAGAATGTGATATTCCAGTGGGTTTCGATTCGCTACATAGTGAACAGAATTTATCTTATATCTAGATAGGTATTGACGTGAAACTTCACTCCATTGACTTGGTGATTATTCCTGTATATCCATAGGAAATGTGTATAAAGGTGACAAGTTGAAGAGTTCGCGTGACTTCCTGAAGTCTAAAAAGTGCATGGCCCTTCGTTTAATCAGTGTCTGTGATCTGGTGTAACATTGAATCCCTAAACAAATTGCGCTTTATAATGATCATGAAGTGACTCAAAAGAGTAAAAATCTTTGAGTGACCGATTTTACCATACTCATTTCCCCAATAGACTGTACTGTTATAAAGAACCGTTAGGAAAGCGGTTTTTGAAATTTCGATTTCCAATCAGGCGATCGGCTTGTAAAAGTCATGGGATTCCTGACTTATCTATAGGTTTATACTTATGATTGCAGCATGAGCTAAACCCAGGATCTTGTTTAGTATCTGAGTTAAAGATACCCAATCCCTTTAACCATAGAAAATGCTTTACGGTGAATTAACCCTATCTAGCCCGGAAGGGGAGGGAGGGGGGGGGGGCTTTAGAAGCCCCCCTTCATTTTCCGCTACCATTTTTTAACGCCAAAGAATCTTGCTCTGAAATCGTATGAATTTTTTTTCTTTCGGGTCTTGCGCATCTTTTGAAATATTTTTTTCTCGAAAATCGGTCCTACCTTTACAAAGTCACGTGACCTTTTGTCTTTGCATGTCAGCCCGAAAATGGCTCATTTTTGTGATTTGTGTACAAAACATGAAAATCTTATTTTTCCAAAAAAGAGATAAAACATTGGTTATTTGGTCTTGTTTAAAGTTTAGGTATTTATTTGGGGGTTCAAAATAGTTGAATTATAGTCAGAATTAAAATAAAACAACACTGAAAAACAAAACACATAAATTAAAAAATTAAAGAAATTATTAGATCAATATAAAACATAAGGAATAACCTAGCTCTTCCAATTTTTGTTGTATTATTATAATGAATTGTCTAAAGAATACATGTAGTGAAAACTCATGTTTAAATATGAAGAATATATGATTTGAATGTGATTACCTTATACGCATAAATTACCTAAATATGCAAATGAGTGAATTTTTCCAGAAAAAATTGAATTACCTTGATAATCGATACACTCCACTTGACATGCATGCACATTTTTGCAGCGATCATGGGGGGGGGGGGGGGGGCTTAGAACCCCCCCCCCCCCGGGCTATGTAGTTTCAAAATAACCCGGGCTAGATAGGGTTAAGAGTTCGCGTGACTTCCTAATGAATAGCGCCATTCTAACCATAGAAAATGTTCCTGACGGTGACTGGGTTAAGAAGTAATACCCACTATGACTTGGTAATGGTTTCCAGTGACTTGCTGAAGAATTATCCATAGCAAAATCACATGACGGATTGTAAACAATTCTCTGACTTGGTGAAGAGTCAATACATGACATTTCCTTTATTTGTTCATGGTGAAGCTGTGAAGGTATTGGGTGACCATATTTAAAATAAGATAAGCTGAGTGAGAAAGAAGATTAGCTGAGTAAGATTCATTATTTCTTTGTTAAAAACATATAAGTAATAGAAAAAGCCTACAGAATGACAATCCTTTGTTTTACCCATTTGTGTTTTTTTCAAAGGTGAAGCTGATTTCCACAACATTAAAAATGTAAACCTTTAACGAGTGTATGCTTATACTAAGTTTTAATCCTTCTAGGAAGATTCCATTATGTATAAGTACATGTGTATATCATAATTATATATTATAATGCGTATGTCAAGTATAAATCAAAACGTCTGTAGTCTTGTTTGGTCCCATTCATGTTTGCATGAACCTTTAACAGGTATGCCGATAGAGGGCCGCAGTCGTGACGAAATATTATGCAGTAAAAGTAATCAATGCAAATTTAGAATCAACAATACATATTGAAATAACCGAATTGCCCCATTTCAAACTTTACATCGTTTTACTAGGTTGGAGTCCGCGGAGATATATGCAGCTGTACACCATATCCACACCAACCTTCAAATGTACCTCCGTTGATAGCAATATGGCAAGAGATTCAGCAACCGAACCATGCACCTTCCGACAGACGTATTAGTCATTATGATGTCAACAACAGTCAAACCTTGGTAGCTGTTGACCCCAAGTCGGTGGCAGTGGATATAACGTCAGTAAACAGGACTAAGTATAAGCTGATATCGCCAATGACTCCACGGGTGGGTGATACTTTACACTTCCATATTGAAGCTAGAAATGAGGCGGGACATCAGATCATGGACGGTGGGGACTTCTGGTTCGGTGTAATGGAGAGTCCCAAACTGAAGGTATGATAGTTACCACACATCAACCAAGCCTTTAGGAATGATTGGTGAAATGTAGACACATTTTTTAAATAATTATTCGTCAACACAATTTCAATTTCTTCTCTCAAATCAGGTCGTTGTCAATTCATTTCACACAAAACACTTATAACCCCCTCCCACTTTAAAAATTCTCTCTAGCAAAAAAAGACTCATCAGTTAATCCTAACAAATTGCGCCACTTCCGTCGAATGCCAACTGTGTGTAATTTATTCATACCCGTCACACTGTAACAGTCACCAACGCACGTAGCGTGGGCTAAGCCATTTTTTTAAGGAGGGGGGGGGGGAGGGGCACAAGTATCAAGTCTACTAGATAGTCAACGTGTTAAGGGAAAAGATTTACCAGGAACAAGGGGTCTCCCTTGCCCCTTTAAAGTGGTACAAATGTGCAATGGAAGTAAAACGGGAGCACATACATACTCTGTTTCTTTTACTGTATTAAAGTCCTCTATCTTTCACTTGTATCTCTATATCCTTTTCTTCCAAGGACGTAGATCGGATCACCCCACAACATTTTCTCGATAATTTGACAAAAGGTTGTTGTTACCATGGAGAGTTTTTACAGCTAACATCTACCTGTTAGTTGATAATGTAATGATGAATACCTTGTCGATTATTTATGTTAATAGCGATTTGGTAGGTTCATTGTGCCTTGAGTAAACTTTACCATAAAGAGTTTTTACAGCTAACACCTACCTGTTATTTAATAATGTAATGAATTGTGACATTCTTTCAAATTTTGAGCCCATAATGACATTATTAGTAAGAAAATGCGCGTGACATACACCCCTCTCTTTTTTGCTAAGTATGTTTGCAAGAGTTTCCTCCAAATGCCATGGATTTTCGTTTTTCAGGTGCCTTTTCTGACGTTTGGCTTTTCTACTATGAGGGTGATCTGTAATTTAAAAAAAAGAAGAAGCTATTTAGCTCCTTGCGTTCGACTGCCACTTTGGGTATCAAATAACAGCCTTTAATATCACAAACAACAAGCGTTTCATGATAGGGATGAACGTGCAAAGACAAACAACCCCTCAATATCTTAATTTTCAACTATCTTGAAATTTATAGTTCTCTGCCCCCCAAAAATGCTTTAAGAGTTAGGTATTGTAAATAGGCCTATAATAATGCTGAATCGGAAATGTAGTTTTCTTCCCAAATGTTTACTTTCTTCTTAATTTTCATGTGCTCTCTCTCTCTCTCTGTTTATTCTTTCTTCATTATCCTTATTCTTCTATCTCTACCATACTGTATTTTCCCTTTTCTCTCTCTCCGTACTCTCTTTCCAATCTCCTATATATTGCCTTATCATCTCGTCTATATATCTTATTCTCTTCAATGTTTGTGTGTGTAGTATGCCTGTGTTTTCGGATGAATGATGTACAAATGTTGTATGACTTGATTATATTTAACATAAAGCTGATTCTATTTTATATTGTTAACTATCATCTTGTATAAGTAGGACCCCGCCCACAAGCACTTTGCTTTTAAGGATATCCCAGCATTTTATATTGTGATTTTATTGCTGCTTTTCGCCCTTGTTTCCACATTGTTTTAAAATGAATGATAAATTAGTTGAATGGAATTTTAAGATGACAGTTTTATTCTATTTTTACAAATTAGGTTTAGAGACGTTATTTTTTTCTTCTTCTTCTTCTTCACTTTTTAACAAAGTAAAGAAAAGGAATTGGTCAGAACAGAATACATCCGATGTATTACTCATGTATTTCTAAATTGCAAGAATAGGCATTGTTGGCCTGCTACGCTTAATGTTTAAATACTGAACTGTAGATTTGTCGAAAACGGTTAAGACATTTCAAAAATTCAAATCTAATGGCTTATTTTTAGAATTTTCACGTCGTCATACATTCAAATGATGGCAAAGAGGCTTTTACATAATTAAACAAAAGTAGGTTCTATTCATCAAAAAGAACAGCTTAGACTATTCCAAGAGAACCACATTAGTACAAACTCATACAATGGCGGCATTCGCTATCTTTTCTCTTTTTCTTATTCCCATTCCAGGCTGCTACTGCTGCCCGGGTAATAGACCACCATAATGGCACATACAGCATGTACTTTTTGGCTAGTTGGGCAGGGGATGTAAGGGTTAGAATTACCCTTGTACACCCTAGTGCTGCCATAGATTACCTCAGACATTCATTTCGGTGAGTACACTAGTGTGTATAAATGTTTTTTTCTGCTTCTGTGATCAGGTACAACCGTGGGATTTCTATCGGTGCTCCATGTCGGCCACTAATAATTTACCAATAAATCATCTTGACCAACGTGACCAGTGTTCAATCATTTGAAAGGCCCATATATTAAATGGAGAATTAAAGAAGACAACAAAAAAGAAGAAGAAGGAGGAGAAGAAGAAGAAGGAGAAGAAGAAGAAGGATAAGAAGAAGAAGTAGTAGTAGAAGTAGAAGAAAAAGAAGACAAGAAGAAGAAGAAGAAGAAGAAGAAGAAGAAGAAGAAGAAGAAGAAGAAAAGAGAACAATTAGAGGCATCGATTCGTTTTTTGATTCATTTATTTGAACAATAATTAAACAAGTTGCCTTTACAACAAAGTGCTTTATAAGATAAACGATGGAAGATTACAGGATAGACAGTTACAAAAAATGAAGGGAACCGGATCAGCAGAAGATTTTTTAATTCGTATTTGTTTTAAAAAAAAAAACTAATTACCGGATACAGAAAAGTTCATTTCTTTATTATTAACGGCAGAGTAAAGTAATAGTTGTATTTACATAAGGATGTTTGAAATATTCTATTTTGCATGTGGGGAGGATAGATAGGTGCATAGTTGTTGGATTAAAATAGTCATCTTGGATTAATGTTCATCCCTTGAAGACATTACAATAATGTCGTTCAAGAAGCCTTTAATATTCCATTTTAACCATGAAGTAGCTTGTAAGTGTACAGTCTTGGAAACTTTTCTCAAGCGTCAGTCAGAAGTGAGAGTTATACAAAAAAAAATCCGTTTCGATTGTCTTCACAAGAACCTTGCTAAAACGATTGTCCATCATCATTTTGATAATCGTTGTAGATCATCAGCATCTCATAATCAATACTCATTGCTGATAAGAGCTTGACGTCAAACCTAATCGATTGTGGCAAACATTATTCAACTAATTAATATTTAGATTTATTATAACTTGTTATGAATGCTTACCTACAGCCACGCTGAGAAGAAGGTGCTATGGAACGGTATTTTCTCCTCTCGGACCGTGAAAGAGAAATCACTATGTTGGATCAACCATCATGGCAACATGTCCAATACATGTGTTTATCTGCCGCAGAGGGCGCTACATCACACACAGCTTATATGCAATCTACCCGCTTCTCTACCTTGTAATACCCTGTCTGGTGTGGTTGGAGCAACTTCATATGCATACCAGTTTCAGCGGGTGCTTACTCCTAACGTAGCACACTTATTCACCAGGTAAATACGATTTTATATCAAAACACGTTGTCATTCAGTCTCTAAAGCTTTGTACTAAGACCCACATCCCAAAGTCGCACAAATCTTGTAATACTCATCATCTTGCAATAACTGTTATTGCGTGGTATAATCTTCGGAAATGAGAGACGATTAAAAAGTGAAAACGGTATTAGTGATTTTGAAGACCTAGAACATTAATAACAGCAACAACAACACATGAGAAAGTAGCGTAGTTCCGTCTACTGTAATGAAACGTACCTTTAACAATGAGTGATATAAGACTCCAAAGAAATTCAGATGGTTGGGCCTATTCCAACGAACCGACCTACCCTGCATTTCATGAAGTAGGAGATAAGAAAAAACAACGGCACACAACCTGCCAATTAAAAAGATACTGCAATGTCACCTTGTTTGGAGCCTTATAAAGTTTACAATAACATTTGATTATTTATTTTATGTACTTGCATATAGAGCCTTTGTGAATGTACCGCTGCCGTTTGAAAAACCAAGCACCATCCAAGGTAAGAGCAGTAAAGTCAATGCAAAACCTTTCTGGATTAGAACCTGCAAACATCGTCATGCATGGTGGAAAGGGTGGGACAGGGGAGCAAACCAAAACAGAAATTGACGGATTATCGATAATGTGATTTGTGCAAAATTATGCCAATATCTCCATGGTTGCAAATTGCTTAACTTACATTACTTTACGTCACAGAGTCAATAGAATTGGTGGTCGTACGAGAAGACATGTAAAATAAGCTTTGAAGCTGGTTTCCTCAGGCATACTAGTATAACCCAGTCACAACAAATAGAACTAAACTAGATCGACAACAGATAGAAGAAACAGATGTATTAATCCGAAGAACAAATAGTCCATCGGTTTAGTGGTGTGACTGAGGATGAAGAAATATGAGGGAAGATGTTTGCAAGATAAAAGATTCATTTACTGTTTTATGTAGTGAATAATTTACAGGGCCAGCGGATTGGACATTTGGCTTGGTGATATGAAGGCAGTGGGATTGAGTTCTGGAGACTGGACTAGTGACATGACATTCCTTTTATAAGGAAGGCGTTCTGATATTCCATTGTCATACTTTGAATTTTCTTGTGTCGATATTGTCTTGTGTAGAATGAGGGCAACTGTGATTATTAGTTCATAAATATTTAAAGTCGAAGGAATTCTCCAAAACACTCATTAATTTGGCATACTGTTAACGTTTCAAATGTTCTGCTTTTAACAAATGCTGTTGGCAATGAATCCTCAAGCTATATTAAATATTTGGTAGAACCATAGAACGAACTAATACCAAACATATAATTGTATATTTATTCTGTCAGATAAGTCTACACTTGAAATAGTTTTTCCATATCTCAATTTAGTTTTTATTTCAAAACTTTTTCAGAAACGATAGATGGAAGGGCAATCCTTGATCCGCAGCTGTACTCACTACCCATCTGTCAAGCAGATCTCTCCCGTGCTCTTTCCGATGGTTTCTGGTACAACAACCACTGGCAATCGTTGGTTTGCCAACCCCGTATTAAATTCTCTAAAATGAATATCCAGGAATGCTTGCGGGGACAAAACATTTACCTTACGGGAGACTCCACAACACGCCAGTGGTTTGCAGAAATAGCGAAATCCTTGAATTTAAGCAGTGCGGCAGACCGACAGTTTAAAGCCAAGTCTTTTCACTTATTCAGGAAAGACATGAAGAGCAACATCAGTCTTGAGTTCATCTTTCACCCCCTCTCTCTTCATCCATCTGCCGTGTTTGTTAATTTCTCTATTGTGCGATTTGAAGCAGACGTCTTGCATAGCCTAGCCAAAGTCCCTTGTCAAAATGCAATAGTGGTCATTAGTCCGTGGGCACATTTTCCCAACTATCCATGGGGAAGCTATGTGGACTGGTTAGAAGGCATACGTGACGCTTATTCCTACGTCAAGAGAACTTGTCCTAATATAAAGCTTGTTGTAAAAACACCACATCCTGTCAACATGCAATGGGAGATGAAAGCTCGTGATTGGATGTTCTATCAGATGAAAGAAGCCATGTGGAAAGTCTTTCAAGGATCGGGAGCTTTCTTTTTGGATGTCTGGGACATGAATCTCTCTTATCCCTCAGCACCTATCAATATGCATATGCCAAATAATGTCATCCAAGAAGAAGTATCGCTCTTCCTTTCTCATGCTTGCCGAAGATGATGTGTGTGTATTTTATCTTTCGAAGTCGATTTTATGTAATTGTAAATATTAGGTCTCGTATGCCAAATTTACAAATAGGTAAAACATTTCTACGATCCTTTGTCTAAAATATTGTAGCACTGCCGTTAACTGACGTCATTTTTAATGAATATTCACGTTTTGATTAAGAGGTGCTAATATTTGTTTAAGTATAATATTTCTGTTTACATGTATACATTTTTGATACAGAGTATTATCACCAAAATTATACTCTGAATCATCATTTATTAGAATATACTATGTTAAGGTATTATTGAGTATTTGATTAATGTTCTTGTTTATTTTCTAATTAGTATTGATAGTGCGTATAGAATGTAAACAATAACCACGTTTTTATATTCAATGCGTTTTTGTGCATGTTTTTGACACCGTCCATCTCTCGCCTATAGTTGAGAGCCCTAATGTTTGTGCTCTTGGTCATAATTGACTACTTTTTATGACTTTTTCAACTTATCAGTGCCCAAATTTCAGTTTACTACTTCAGTGAGGTGCATAGCAACTCTTGCTTGGGCCTGATACGGGATTTATTCAGTTGGACATTTGATCTTCATGTTTTCAACGCAACTTTTCGTCATAACGATTTCAACCAAGATCTGACTTCGCCTTCGCATAGCCTGCAGATTGCAGCTAGATCTACGCGAATTTCATGGAACCTCCACTTTCAACGACGAGAGTAAAGATCAATTAGTGTTTTTCTTCATCGGATTTTCTTCATCGGATTGTCTTCCAGTGTAGCGTTCGCCCAGAGAGCTTGAATTACTTCACGTTCACTACGCTAGCAGCAACTCGTGGGACTACACGCGATCGACACATCTTTACAGTATTCTACTTAGCGAGAACAATCAAGTCAGCCAGATTACTTCGTCTTCGACCACCGTTTGCTGGTTAGTATTAAAAAACATAACATTGAGTGATTCACAGACTCCTACCAGATCTACAGCTACATTTGAAGTAGTTACCATGGTTACACAGTGAAGCATTGAAGTTGACAGCTGCTAAACTAACCTGGGTTTATTTTGTATAGACTACCATTGCTTTTGTTTTTGTGCATATTTTTATACCAACAATCACGTTGAATTCAAGTTTAGAACATCTAGATAATTTTTATGTAATAATCACCATCATTCATGTCAAGAAGAACTTATCTCGTACCCTTGTAATTGTACGTTCACTGTGTGAATCTTGGCATGACAACTAGAGGTCTTGATTCTTTCTAGATCTAGATCTAGTATAGTTCACAATTAGTTTGTGCCCGTTAATTTATTGTAAGGCATTAACCTTCGGCCATTATTAGGCTGGTATCAGACTCAACCAAGGTTGATTTTATTAACGCTTTCAAGTACTAATTTTATGTAATAGTACATTAGCATTGTCCTAGACAGTATGTATACTTTGTATGTTTGCATCTTTTCTTTTACCAACCTGTTACCATTAATATTTTCTAGCATTAAGAAAGTGCAACACCAAGGTAATAGTAGTCACTGACTATTGTATTAATATACAGCCATATTTTAAAGGACAGTTTTAGCTTTTTACTTTTAGGTAAAGAGAATATTTGGTTTTTCCTTTTTAGCGACAAGTTGTTTGGTTGTCGTTGATTTTATACCACAGCCCAACAGGAAGTGTGTCCTGTTATTTTCAAGTTGATGTTTTAGTACATAGATTTTGTGTCTATTGATTAAATATCAGTTATAAATTTCAGTGAAACTTTACATTTTTGTATTCTTTTGTAGTTTAATGAAAGACTATCTTGTATGGTTGAACTTGACTTAATTAGTATAACTTGAGATTGAGAGGTGATAAATGCAGCTTTCTAAATTCTAGTGAATGTTCAAAGATTGATTAGAGTGAGAAATTGGTGTATGTTTACCGGTACATTAATAATCATTACCCTGAAATTAAATAGATCCCCTCAACGCTCGTTTTACTAAAATATATGAGCCCGTATTTTTGCCTATTTATTGTTTTACTTTCATAAACTGTGAGGAAATGATATTCAATTGAATTATATGTAAATAAGCGGACATTGTTTTAAATTTGTCTTTCAATCAAATCTGTGCTTTAACCCAATTTTAACTGGAGATGCCAGTACTTTTTACACTGATTATGTATCTTGTTTTGAAAAAGAATCTGTACGGGTTATGTGCAATGGCACATTGTCTATATGTGATACGATCTATAGTCGCCTGTCTTATGATATCTGTGCCATTTACTTTGTTCAGAACTCATTCTAACATCATTATTGATGAACGCCAAAGTTACGAACAAATTCAAGATTTGTAACGTAATTCAAAGCAATTTTAGTTTATGCATTTAATTATTCGTCAGATCTTAAGTTGTCTTTTAGCGTCTTTAGGTTGATGGAAAACACCGACAATTATTTTACAAGTGAGGAGAGAAAATTCATCCCACATTCTTGATAGAGATTACGTCGTGCTTCGATTTACGTTTGTAATAATAATAATAATATTCAGCTTTTGTATAGTGCTTAATACATCTCGGACGTCTCTTAGCGCTTTACAGATATACTATTACCCCGGTCATTGGATTCAGTGCTTGCCCGTACACACTGTGTGCACAATTTCCACTCCCTAGGGAGCATTCCAGCCAGGCGTTACTTGACGCTCAAAAAAAAACAATGACGGTCGCATCCTACCGGGTACCCATTTTAACACCTGGGTGTAGGTTCATTAATACCTTGCCAAAGACTATTAGTGCCAAAGATGTGATATAGCTTGGTCAGAATTTGCCGACCTTCTCTTGATGCAATTCCACTGCCACTCTTTTTATCTTTAAAAAGTTAAAAATTCATAATTTAGTTGGCCAAACTCTGTGTTTAGAGTCATCTAAAGTTTAGAGTCATATATCTGGTTCGTTATAAAAACGAACGCCCTCTTGTATGATCTGTCTAATGCTATTCAATCATGATTTAGAAATAATTTGTGTCATTTCAAACGTCATGAGGCCAATAATTTCTGAACCGTTGCTTTCTGTTTGTTATAGTTAAAATGAAAACTTGTTCATATATTTATCTTATTTGCCTTTTAATATGTATATATATATATGTTTACATATTGTGTATTAGAAGATTTCAATCAGTTCTGGTGATGCGATTGCATTGTGAAAGAAACGTTGTGGAATCGATCAGAAAAGGTTTATCATCTAGTATATCACTATTGGTGTGTAATGCAAGGTTCTGGAATCATTAAAACGATAAGAAATTTGGCCCAGTCTTGGTAAAGTTACAAGCACTGTACACAGAAAGATGTATATGGGACGCAGGGGGGGGGGGGTTGGAGGTTGAACCCCCCCTTCAATTTTGTTTATGTGTGTATTTTCGAGCAAACCCCCCCCCCCTCTTTGTGATTTTTTTTTTTTAATTAAAAAAAAAAAAAAAATTATGCCAACGGCTCACCTAAAAAAAGGTGACCTTACCCCCCCCCCCCAAACGGAACAAAATGTCAGATTTCCAAATTTCGAGACCCCCCCCCCCCCTCCCCTCCCCCCGCTGATTCAGCGGCTGGCTGAGTCGTTGCGAAATTTTCGGCCCCATTTTAAAATGTTAATACCCCCCCCCCCCTCTTGAAAAAATGTTGCGTACGCTACTGGGGACTGCACGAACATGTGTCATAACAATCCATCCTGATTTTTATGATGTTACATGCCATGTTTAGAATATCAAGGCATGTGAAGAGCCATGCTTTTCAGGGAACATTTTTTAATCTGATGTTCTCCCTGTCTTAAAATGTTTATGTACAAGTACTTGAGATGAGTAAATATTATTAAGAGAAATATCTCACTTCTTTATCATTAAAAAAAGTACTGACTATATTGAAGAAACTATCATGCGCGTGTTTTGTTTGTTTGTTTGTTTTTAATTCAGATTTCAGACATGACTGGCCCCGAAGCTATACTATTTTACTCTGCGGTGAAGTCTGAAATAATATCTTCCTTATCTATAATATCATCCGATCATTCTTCATTATAAAAACAGACACTGGAGCTTTTTGCATAGATTTGATTTGATTTGAATGTGTGCGGACATGCTGACATATACGAGACCTAATTTGCTTCTTGCTCTGGATCCACCACCCTTCTCACCATTTAAATATTCAATTACTTGGGAACCTAACTAACTCACGTTCTACACGTGACTCAGTGAACGTTACTTGACCAAGGACGACTTTTGTGCCAGTATATTTTGCCAAAGTCCATTGAAAGTAGTTATAATTCGAGACTGGCTGAAATCGTGAGATTGCAGTCTGAGGCCAAGGCATGTGAACAAACTTCATCAAGTCCAGCTACATAGACCTTACTATAATTATGAAGAAAGTGGGTGCCCGGTGAGCTGGAAGTGTCAGTGGCAGATAACTCCGCTCGGGCTCTTGCCCGGGGGTCTCGGTCAAATATAAATACCAAGAGAACGCGTATAGGCTAAAGGGGCGTTTTTTGTTTGTTATAGATATAAGGGCAAACGTCCATTTTGGGCCTTTTTCAAGAAAAAGGGTACTTCTTCAAAATGATTCAAAATCCTGCTGTACGCGCCTGTATACACTGCAAATTCGTTGTGTAATGACTTTATCCAACAGTTGGGTGGTTCACTCCTTACACAGGGGTTGGGTTAAGCTGTGTACAACAAATGCACAAGGGCTTTTTTTACACAACTTAATACAACCCCTGTGTAACGAGTGAACTACCCAACTGTTGTGTATAGTCATTTAATACACAACAAATTTGCATTGTACGCGTTTAGGGGTATTTGTCTAGCCCTCGGCTAGATTGGGAGAAAAGGGGGTAATAATTCGCCGCGTTTGCTTTCGTCGTGATCTAGTGCCAATCGGTTTGTAACGATCTTTAGATCTTCAGTAGATCAAGATGGATGCCCACGATACCGACCCAGACCTACCAAGTCTTACGCCTATAGCTGGTCGCCTGGTCCTTTATATTTTGTTTTGCTTAGTAGAATAGTTACTGTTCACTGTACATTGTGTACTTTTTGTGTCTCTTTGTTTCTTTCCCTTTCTCTCCTCTTTTCCTTCCTTCTCTCTGTTTAAGGTATGCCGGGGGGAGGCAAGGGCCTTTCGCCCCCCCCCCTATCCACAAGTTGTTGGCGGGATTAATCGCAAATTGTTCTCCCCTTCTTTTCACCCTTTTCTTTTCTTCTTCTTCCTCTATTTTGTTCCCTTTTATGTCTCCTCTTTCCCTTTCCCTTCCTTCCCCCATTTTAGGGGGCGAGGGTTGGGGGGGGGGGGGGGAGGAGGCAAGGGCCATTTGCCCCCCCCCCCGAACTACAACTTGTTGGCGGGAAAATTGCAACTGATATCCCATTCTTTTCTTTTCTTTTTCTTTCCTTCCTTCTCTCTTATTTTTTGATGGAGGGGGGGGGGGGGGGAGGAGGTAACAGCTAGGAGGCAAGGCCTTTTCGGCCCCCAATCTCCTTATTTTTTCTCCCTTTTCTTTCCTTCTTCCTCTTCTTTCTTTCCCTCTCTCTTTTCTCTCTCTCTTTTTTTTTGGGGGGGGGGGGTGGGGGAGGGGGGCCAAGGCCCGCTCGGCCCCCCTGGATCCGCGCCTGATATAGAGAAAAAAGTTATAGAATCCGAGATTAATCGGAGGATC